AAGGTGTCCCTGCCCATGGCAGGGGGTGGCACTGGATGAGCTTTAAGGTCCCTTCCAACCCAAACCTGGGAATCCTGGGATTCTTTGATTCTACCTAAAGGTATAATTCAGATTAAGGCTTCCTGTATCCACCTAAAAAACAGGCACAAGATGTGATCCCACCTCCTTTCTTCTGGTCTGCCCAACACAGGGCTTTTGTTTGGTGAGGGGATTGGGTGCCATGCTATGTTTAATTCCAGCTGAAGTCAGGTACACAAGCACCATCTCAGGCAGGAATTCATGCCAAGAGGGCTGCTGGATTCTAACAGCCCTTCCAACAATTCTTTGCCTTGTAAGCGGCAGGAGAATATTTCTTCAAGACCATTAGCTGCTTATCTAGTGAGAAAAATAACTCGTGCAAGAGCATCATGTGCTCTTTTTTGTACCAGCAGCCTTGTGTTTGAGTCCAAGCTAATATTTTGTGGTGAAGGTTTTTGTGTGACAACATCTTCCATCACAAACACGAGGCAGCTGAATTTTCAGACTTGGATCGGGAAATGTGGGTGGGTGGTTGCCTGGGAAGCTGTGGTCCATAATGTCCTGGATTAGCTTGTTGGAGCTGGTGATGTGTGTTAGCTCCTTGCTGCATGTGATCTATATCCTTGCTTGCTTGTGCTATAGGTAGAACAGTCTCATGTAAAGCCAGAGATTAAGTGGAAAAGGAGATACAGGAGCAGGCAGATGCTGAATCTGAGTGTCACCCAGGTGTCTCAGCAATAAATCCCTCTGTTTCCTAGAAAGGATAATCTTTTATCTTTGTGAACATGACTCCAAAATAAACAGACTCTCCTCTCTTCTTCCCTTGAACTTCTTTCACTTGCCGCCCTTCCCGGATCCTTAGGGAATGGATTCCTCCTGCCTCAGACCACTCTTCCCTCAGATTCTCAGGCCTTTGTGAACGTGAATCTTCTTTTACAAGGAAAGAGATTTGCATTTCAGAAGCCGGGCTTGTAAAATCCTCTCCAGAGCCACCCTTCCCCGCCACCCTTCCCCGCCCTCAGGCGTTACTTCACTCCTCCCACTGATCTGCTTTTCCACAGAAGTCCCTTTCAAATTGTCACTTTTGTCTGGGCAGTGCTTTTTCCTATCTGTTCTCTCCATCAGAGCTGCTTAACTGGCTCCTGGGGACAAACCCGGGCAGATCCTCTGGGAATGCATCCCACAGACAAGGGCATGGAGCGACTCCAGCTTAAAATCAGGCTCTGCTCGGGATACAAGGCTCACTGTCGTCTTTTCCAGGGGCTAAAGATCATAGTCCGACAGCAATAGTTATTGCAGGAATATTGATTCTTCACTCCTGTTCCTCCTGGAAGAAGAAAATGATGGAGAGATTTAGGTCAGGATGAGAAAGAGTTTGTGGTGCATGACACCATCGATTTGAGGGTTTTCCTTCACTGATCCAACCTTCTGCTGCACTGGATTAAATTGGTACCTGGTGGTGTTCCTGGCCCCAGGGCTGAGCTGAATGTAAATCCCAGAGCTGGATGTAAAAACTGGGCGAAAAACTGGGTTGGTTTTAGTTCTGTGTCACTCCTGCAGGTAACTTTCTACAGAATTAGCAGGATCTGAGCATTTTTGCTCTCACAATTGGTTTTTGCAGGTTTGGTGGGAGTAGTTCATCACTGCAGTAAAGAGGCAAGACCCACCAGTGAGGGTGATCCCTGTCTTACCAGGTGTTTAAAGATAAGTGTTATTAACTCAAACTATTTGTTTTCCTGTCACAGTCGACTTTTAAAAACAACGAATCTTTTTGGTTGATGGAACCACCCTTAAATAATTTAGAAATGAAGCATCATAACTCATCAGTTGGTAGGTAATGTTCTGGTCTCTGTATCTGCATCTGCTGCCTTCCCAAAAGCTTCCCTACAAAGGGAGCTGCAGTAGTTTGAGAAAAGTCCTTAAAAATACTCATTAACCTCCATAGTAAATTATCCTATTGTCAAAACTTGTTCTGTGCTGTAATTTTCCTAATTAGGGCTTGTCTGCAGATCCTGCCTGTGCATTTATGTGGTTTGCTTTCATGGCCCTGGGGCAAACTCTTTCCAGACTGATCTAAAATTGTTAATTCAGTTTTAACTGTAGCTGGCAAAAGCCATCCCCGTGTCCTTCCCCCTCCCAGCCCCTACTTCATCCTTCCAACAAGAGGCTTTTCAGGGTAATGAACTGTGAGGGCCAATTTTCCTTGCAGTGTCATGATATAAAACTGCTGAAAAAACCAGCCTGTTTCCCATGTGAAGCTTAAATATTTTTCTAATCTTTTTACAAATAGAAAGTGTATGGGCTGGCAGGAGGGGGAGGAATTTCCTTAGACTGAAAATTGTGGTTTGGAAAATTGATGTTGTGTTTTGAGCAGATTTGTTGAAGGATCTCTCATTTCCTTAAATCACAGAATAGCTCCTAGGAGGGTCTGTTCTGTGATCTTCCTCCTTTCTATCCTTTTTAAAGACAGGTGCAGTGTTTCCCTTTTCCCAGTCACCTGGGACTTCACCATGACTTTCCCAATATCCTAGAGAGTGGCTCAGCAATTCCCTGAGGACTCTGGGAATATGGGGTCCCGTATGTTTGGGGGATGACCCAAGTGCATGTTTGGGTTCCTCAGGTGGTCATGAACCTGAGCTTCTCTTACAGAAGGTGGGATTTTTCTCCCCCAGCCCCATCTTGGTGTCCATCTGTTGCTGAAATTAATGTTCATTGGCTATAAATTACACAATTCCCTTCATTAATTAGTATTCTATCTTCTATTTGTTACTGATTTCTTGCTTCTCATCCTAATTAGCCCACATTTTTCAGTCTTTTCATTATCTTTTTCCCAGATAGGGAGGGGTTCAGTACAAATGCTGAATAGTCTTGGTTAGTTTCTTCTTTATCTCGTGGTTCTGCAACCTTGTGGTCCATAAATTCTGCATTTCTTGTGTCCAGTTTGAGCAGTCTCTCTCTCTCCCAGGCTTTGTTAACCTCCCTCTAGGTCTGAGATCATTTCCAAGCATATCCGGTTGCTTTAGCAAAAGGTAAATCCAGTAATTTTCCCAAACTGTGTTCCCACAAGAGCAGCTTGTGGCAAACCTTGTTAAATGCTGGCTACAGTGGCACGTGAGAGAGTGGGAAATGACATTGCTTGTGATTGATTAAACCAATTCATTAGAAAATTATTAGGAAAGTTATATCCATTCCAATGCAGACATGAGGGCAGTGAGGTTGCCAGTGAAGACTGAAGCAAAAAGAGTCCCACAGGCTTCTCCTTGTCCATCATCTCCACTTTCCCAGTCTGTCTCGGGGGAGGATACACTTCCTCTGACCTTCTTTTCCGGGTAATGGACCCATAGAAGCCCTCCATGTTTGCATCCCCTCCAAGTTCAGCTCCAGCTGCACCTTGGACTTGCTGCCCCCCTCCCTCCCCAGCCAGAGGGCATTCCTGCAAACCCAGGGCTCCTCCAATGCACAGAGGGGGGTGTTTTCCAGGGGAGCTGCTGCCCTGATCTGTACCTGCCAGACTGGCTGAACTTTAACACCCTTATTCCATCTTTGCCACATCCGTGATTATACATTGACCAAACAGCAAATAAGTCTAAAGATCACCCGGACAAAGCGCGGCCCAGATGGCTTCAAAACACCCAGCTGGGGAGGTTCTTCCTCGGAGGCTCTCCCTGGTTTGTGCAGGAATGGCCCCAGGCCTCAGTGCTCCCCCAGCAGTCACAGCCAGGCTGGTGGTGCTGCTGTCCCTGCTGGGTTTGGCTGTGGGTGGGAAGCTCCTGGTGGTGCCGGTGGA